TGTGAAAAGTCTATTAACTTGCGTTTAAACGCTCGTTTATATAAACTCGGCGTGAAGTCCCAGCTAACTGTATATCCTTCGTGGTCAAGCCACGTCGTACCCGAGCGCTGCGCAGAAGCTCTTCGCGCGTTTCACGTCGTGTAAGGCGGACGACAATGACGCGCGGCCGAGGCGCCTTTTCTTCGCTTTCCTCATAATTACTACGTCCGTTTCCTGCCCGTTTGGCGTATACCACGTCCTGTTCTTCCAACTTAATGCCGAGTTTGATGGAAATCATATTTATAATTTGCTTTGCGTTTTCACCATTCGATTCGGGTTACCCCAGAAACCTCTATGTCATTTAACAAGGATTCCTGTTCACGCTCATATCAGTTTTTAGTTTAAATCGCGTACGGTTGTCCTCTAATGTTGTGAGGTCGGGATACAAATGTTGATCCGATTTCTCCTCTAAGGCACCAACTCTCTCTCCAGTAAATCCACTCTATCGTTGCACATCTTATTCTCTGCTTGAAGGCTTAACATCTCTTCTCTAAACTCACGCAATTCCGATATCAAAACATTAATCTCTTCACGAAAGATACGAATCTCTTTAAGTATTAAGCTTACATCCACTGGTTGCAATCCTTAGGCAAGTTGTTACTTGTCGGGGCGCCGTGTGAATTACTCGGCTGCGGTGACACACATGCCTCCGCCACAGCTGGCGGGGTTGCTAAGACAACATTGCAGCCCGCGCAAATCCATTTTGGCGAGACAGATTTAACCCCTGGTGTAGCCGCGAGCGCACATGTGCGATGGTAATAGTTCTGACATTAGAACATTTAGTAATGTCTTTTTGTGCTATGTATTTACCGCATCCTTTGCATTTTGACATGCTTGTTTATGTGTAGTCAATAACGCACACGCACTACACCGTTCTAAAGTCACTGGCACAGCGCGTCACAAACACACCGCCCGTAGCGCGTACCAGTAGCCGGGGAACCAGGTATACCCTAGAAAGAAAAGCCCTAGTACCCCGACGTACCTCGGGCCAACTACGGCTTATAGATGACGCCTCCTGTGTGGGAACCCAGATGTTCCCTTCCTGACCCGAAGGGCCCGCGCGCTCCGTAGCGCGTAGCGCCATCAGCCACCTCGGCCTGCTTCTGCTAGAGTGACAGATGGCCTCACCTGTCACCCACAGGCCTGCACTTATGGAGGATGGAGGTCGCTCTGCGACCTCCGACGCCCGAGCCGTCTGCGGTACCTGGCATGTTCTCGGGCCTGGCGAGCCGGGAGGGTTCTGAACCTCTCCCGATCTCGCTCCTCCATCTCCTTCGCAAGCATAACCTGCTCGAAGAAGGAGACGGCGGAGTTCCACGCATTCTCACTCCGCACCATGGCCGCAATCATGTTACCGAGCGAGAGACCTGCCATCCCGAGGGCCGCCACGAGGTCACGCCTCTGCTCCACCCACGCCAGGCGTTCTGCTAGAGTGTGGAGCGCCGTGTCCACGGTCCGGCCATCGCAGTGGTGGCACCCAGGCGTTGGCTCCTTGCGGATCAGACACAGGTGATCCCCGAAGCATCCTTTCCCAGTGATCCCCTGCGTCAACCGGTATGAGAGGGTTCCGTGATGCATCTCGAGCCAATAGTGCGGTGGTAAGACCCGTTATGGAAGCATAACGGGTCTTACCACCGCTATAACAGCGTGCCCAGCGCTCGGTTGCCCAAGTCGTTCCTTCCACTCCTCCACGAGGACCTGGCGAAGCTGGGATTTCTGATCCTCGATTTCTCGAGACTCAGGACTCCGTCCCAGCTCCCGCGCCTCCTTTCGCCACTGATACAGAGCCGCAAGGGCTCTCGCCTTCAGGTCTCATGGTTAAGTTCCGGCTAGGAGACTCGCCGCCTCAAAGGAGATTGTGCGGTACCCTCTTATGACTCTGATGGCCAGTACTCGTTGCGGTCGTCGCAGTAGTGCGACGTTGCTGGCCTTTAGGGCCTCCGCCCATACTGAGGCCCCATAAAGGGCCATGGACCGCACAACCCCGAGTAGAGTCATTCAGGAGTCATCGGGTCCGCTAATGTTGGGCAGCAGCCGCGCCAATGCACGCGCTGCCCCAATTAACTTGGGGACCAGACCTCGGAAATGATGTCCGAAGTCCCATCGGCCATCGAGTACGAGCCCCAGATACTTCATCGAGGGCTCGATACCGATGCGAGTGCCTCCTACCATGAGGCTGAATCCCTCAGGTGGCCTCCTCCGAGGCCCATGAAAGAACAAGGCCTCAGATTTGTGCAGAGCTACCTTAAGACCCAGCCGCTGGATCCGCTCCACGACTTGAGCAACCCCGGCGTCTTGCCGCGCGCCGTCACGACTGTGTCGTCCGCGTAGCAAGTCGTAGCCGATATTCCACAAGAGTGGCCCTGTCACACCGACCCATGCGGAACACCGTACGACATTTCACGTGTACCGAGACCGGTCCTACTTGGGTAGGCGACGGCTCTCTCCGACAAATATGCCCCGACTATGCGCGGAGGTAGAGAGGCACTTCGTGATACACGAGCGCCTCCCTGATGCAACTCCAGGGCAAAGTGTTGAACGCATTGGCAATGTCCAAGGACACCGACAACATCACTTCGCCCCGGGAAACCGCTTTCTCCACCAGAGCCTTCACGCGCATGATCGCATCCACGGTGGACCGCCCCTGACGGAAACCGTACTGGTTGTCCGCCAGATCCGGCCCCACTATGACAAGATGCTTGACGAGGCGCCATGCAATCACCCTTTCGAAGAGTTTGCACACCTCGTCAAGCAACACAATGGACCGGTAGGCGGACGGTGAGTCCGCCGGGCGCCCCTCCTTTCGGATGAGGACCAGTTTCCCAGTCTTCAATAATTTCGGAAACTGGCCACGCAGATCTCACTAACACTGTTAGTAACATTGGTCAGGCTGTCGGAATTCCAATTTCTATAAAGGAGTTAAGAGATATATATCATTTACCAGGTAAGGATGGCTCGATTCGCCCGATTGTTGTGGAATTCCAGACCGTCCAAATGAAGTCGAACACTCTGGCAGCAGTTCGCGAATTTAACATTAAAAAGAAAACCGTGGAAGATAAGCTCAACACAGAATTGATAAACATCCCAGGAAAACGACGACTATCTTCCTATGAGCTCCTAGAAACTTTCTCATGCAGCCCAAGAATTCGCCAAACTAAACAAATTTAAATACTGCTGGACTTCAAACGGTAAAATCTTTCTTCGTAAAGAACAAGGCGACAAGAAAATCCTGATTTCTTCGGAACAATGTTTCTTGGACTTGAAGAAAAACTTGTGACTAACTTATGGTACATTATTAACTTTTCTATACTGTTACTTTCTCTTTTTAAATACCGTGTCAATATCCATGTCTGTCATCAGCACAAATTCTTTAAAAAACAATTGTAAGATTGTTTGTAATTTTTTTTATCAAATTAATTTTAAAAGGATCAAATCAATGACACTTACCAACACACATCCAAATCACACATATCACACTCCCGCACCTACATACTATACAAGCACAACTCTAATCACTCACTCACTACTACATCCATACACCCCATTAACGCGCTGTATGGCATCACCTGACATCTACTTCTATAATCAATGGCCAACATAAACAATATCAACACAGAACTAGACTCACTTGAACTCACAAACTCTTATGAGTGCCGACCAGAGGACTGCCTACTATTCCTTCCTTATGTGAACCATGCTATCAGGCTGTTTCATATTAACATCCGTAGCATTAAAAAAAATGTTGACCAGCTCCGAGTATTATTAACAATGACTGACTTAAAATTTGACGTCATCGTTCTGACTGAATGTTGGCTTCGCGGAGTGGGTAACTTGCCCACTTTAGAGGGGTACACTGCATACTCCGCGAGCTCCGGGTTTGGACGAAGTGATAGCGTCGTCTACGCTCATAAATAATCACGTAAATAAATGCGATCGGGCCGCAACATACTCGTACTATAACGATAGGCGGGGAAACCCGCAGCTTCCCCGGGATAGTCTCGGTTTGATATTTTACCTATGTGGGCAAGTCACTTGCTAATGACATATTATCAAGATTAAATGAAAATGAAAATGACTTAGCTAGTAATTTCAGGTATAAACATAGCCCACTAAATTCAATGATAATGTTACCTACTGACGAGGATGAGATTAGAAAAATAATTAAATCTTTAAAAAACACCTCAGCGTCGGGTTGGGATAGGATATCTTCAATCTGGGGTGCTGGGCTAGAAAACCTCCTCGTGGTGCACCCTGGAAACGCTGGCGATGGTACTGTTCCCTCCTTGTCCTCTTGGAGGAGAGGATTATCGCCAGCGGCCAATATTCTAGCAGAAGAGGCAGCCGTTCATCGGCTCTCGGGCAAGGCCTGGTCCAGCAGGGTGGGCGTGTCTGCCGGTTGCCCTGCTGGCTCTTCGCTCTTCGGAGCATGGAGGAGGAAACCTCGGTAAAAAACCTGATGGCGGGGCCCTGTAGGGGCCACAGTTTCTCCGCTGACAGCGGTGGAGAAAGGAGGACGGGCTCGGCGTGTACTCACACTACCACCGAGCAGGCAGGGGGACGTAGTCTCCCTGTCAACCGTCGGCATATCGTAATCCCGAGAAGAGCGCTGTGGTTTAAGTCTCGCGGCTCTGATCGGGGGCGAGGGTCTTGGCTTAACCGCCCGGACCGCGAGGAAGATAACCTCTCTAAAAAATTCCCCGAATCCCGTGTTCTGGTGCGTGGCCAGGGGATGCATGGCTGATGGGAAGTTCAGTCGCGAGCGCACTCCAAGCCGAGGTACCTGCGGACCCCTCGGTTGGGTTAAAAACTTACGCTTGCCCGGGTAATGGGGGATCTCTGCCCGGGTGGACCTTTAGTTCTCCCCCACTCGTGGGATTTACTATGGATAATTTGCAAAAACAAAAAAGACGCTCGGAACCAAACAACCAACGAAAAAGGCAAGCCTAACGGAAAAGGAAGCACAGCGAAGGAAGGAAAAGCAGAACAGTGGAGCGGATGGGTCGTCCACTGAGGGCGAGATGGTGTCGGGAACGCCTATCTCGATGGGGCTCCCAGAGGTCAGTCTGACTCTGGTCACTGGGAGCCGAAGAGCATCGGATCGGCTGCGTTCCGGATCCGCCGCTTCATCGGATGGCGCGGAGGCCATGGAAGCGGAGCGGAGCGACAGCCGGAAACGCGGACGCTCAGGGGACGTGGAAACCGACACGTCCGGCGAAATGATTGCCACCAAAGGTGGCC